TCTGTGCACAGATGCCATGCAAGGAAGTCAGGTAAAACCTGTATCTTTTAATTTTTGCTACTAAAATATAGGACATTATAATTTAAAAGGATAAGAAATAAAATACAAAGATAGTGTGAAAAAGTCAATTTGAAGGTAGCCTTTAGTGGCTTAGACATTTTCCCTGAATGTTGGGCCAAGGAGGTTAGATGAATGGAAGGAAATTGCCTGTTGTGATGTCGATGTCTGTTGGGCACCACTGTCACTGCAGTTACTGATGAGCTCAGAGTGAGCCCGAACTCTCCTGGAGCCCCTGCCTGGCTGGTTGAGCTGTTCTCTCCCATGGCACCCACTTACCCCAGGCCCTTCCCACCATGGGCCGGGTGTCAGGAGGCGCACCCTTCCCTCTGTGTTCTGCGGGGGCTGCCTGGGAGGGAAGATGTGGTCCTCGCATGGGACACAGCTCCTCACAGGCTCAGGCTTCCCAGAGGGACGCAGGCCAGCCCTGGAGATTTGGAAGGAGCTCTGCCCTGGGCACAATTTGGTGACACCTGTGCAGGGGCAGAGGTGTGCAGGGGCCCAGCATGGGTGAGGAAAGACAGTCTCATGAGGTACAGTGGTCTAGACTTATTATTTTCATTACTTTCCATTGTTAGAAAGGATGTCAACTGAACAAAAACCTATTAAATAAGAAAGAAAGCCTACCTGCCCCTCCCCCATTCCCTGGAGGGGGTGACAGCTGTTGGTGTGGTGGGTGTCCTGCAGAACTTTTCCCTGGCACATGAGAGATGCATATTATTTATACATTCTGACAATATATATATATATTTTTTTTCAAAATTGGTATCATACCGTTTGTCTTGCAAATTTATGCAACCCTTCACTTTTCTTATGAAAAATCTGAGCATTTATATGCATCGATGTCCTCTTGCTGCTGTGCTGGCATTTCTTTGAGGCTGGACTGCTGGAGTTGCACCCTGTAACTCTTGGAGGCTCTGTCATATTCCCTGAGAAAATGTCCTGTTGGCACAGACAGACAATACAGGAAGGAGTCCAGACAGCCCTTGAAACAGTCCACCCAACTCCACGAACCAAGACCCTCATAGGCCCAACCTCATCTGTTACTGAGTCCCCCAAGATGGCAAAGCCAGACCTGTACAGCTGGCCTCGCAACTGTCCTGAGAGCCAGAGGCGGAGGCAGGATCACCAAAAATCGCTTGCAGGAAGGGCAGAGAGCACAGGTCTCTCAGTTCCAAGATGCCCGACACCTGACTCCACAGCTCTGGGAGTTCCCTGGCTGCTGTTGCGCCCTGGCTCTGATGAGTGCATCTTGCCTCTGCCCTTTCAGAACTTATTCTCTTTCCCATTTGCACTAGAGCTGCTGGTGCTGCTCTGCAAAGACACCCTGGGTGGCTTCTCCCTCACTTCATAATAGATTGCTGCCAAATTCTGCCTTACAACTCAGTGTCATTTCTGACCTCAGGCTGCTGTGGCGGCTCTGTCCCTCTACGCCATCCAGTGACGTGGCGGTGAGCATGTGCTTGTGTAGGGATAGCTTTCCAGGCGGCTCCCCAGCCTCTGCCAAGATGCCATTGCTCCTCAGGAGCTGCTGGGAAGTGGGCAGCATGGAAAGTCAGCCCCTGCTTCACGGGAGACTCTGGGCCGGGTTTGTCCTGGCACCTGCTTCAGCCACCCTGCCATGGTGCCTGCCGCTGGCCTGAGCAGGGCGTTTGTAGCCACAAGTGGAAAGCAGAGCCAGAAATACCCGAGGCGGAAAAGGCAGAGGCAGAAAAAGCAAACGCGACAGAACGTTAGCTGCCGCTCCCTTGAGCTGAGGGGCTTAGGGTGTGTGTGGCTCTATTTTTTGTTGTTTCAGTAGAATGCCAGCTGTTCTGTGCTTTGAAGTTTGTGAGGTGTATTCTTCACACTTCTGAGGGGAAGAACAGTCCGCTCTGGAAAGCTTTTTGGCTCTAAGCCTGAGGGCTGCTGTGGGGACCCTCTCCATCTCTCTAAACTCTTCCTGGTGGCATGAGCTGCAGGGCAGTCCTCATCGCAGGGAATCCCAA